TCTGCTGGAGGTACAGCTCATAAGGGACCCCCCCTCCCCCTGGCATCAGATTGCAAAAAGAATTTAGGTTTCTGAGTCCTTAGGACTATGGAAACATATTCACAGTTTTTTCAAGGTATTACCAAGTGCACAAGACTGCCTATTGAGCCCAAATAGCAATATCCCCTCTTGTCAATGCTGTCAGTTTTGTCCTTCACTTTGGCACTTCCACCTCGCATCAGATCACAAAAAGGAAATACTTTTCTGAGCACTTCTGAACATGGGCTTGAGCAGCATTTAGCCATGCATGCCAATACTCATACTTGTCAATGGGCTTGTCAGTTTCATCCTCCGCTTTGCAAGCACCTCTTTTTTGTTTAAAGCTTCTTTGCATTTTGCTGAAACAAAGACATCTGCCCCTAAAGCTCCTTGCCTTCTGTGACCACAGGACACTTCAGTTCCCCCATTCCCATGCTTGTCACTTCTCTCCCCAGGTCTCCCATTGCTAGCTGTCAGATGTATGAGGGTTGCAGAGCAGTGTGGTGGATTGCTAAGCATAACACTGTTGTCATTGCAAGACAGTAAAGCTAAGGGGAAAATTTCACAAATGTGAAGGCAAATCAGTAAAGCTAGGTGAAAATTTTCACACATCTCAAGGCAGAACAATAAAACTAAGGGAGAAATTGTGCAAACATCATGGCCGAGTGGTAGTGGCACAAGTTTCAAGACAAAACAGGAAAATTGCACAAATTTTTTAGCAGCAGACATTTGCTCCTGTGGACTGGGGTGCATGGTATTGCAAATATGTTAATGATCATTCCCTGGTGCCTTTTATTCAAGATTTCTATGAACTAAAACAAAAATCTATCCTGAGGTGGAGGGAGTTGAAATGGGATGAGGCAGAATGATGGCAGCACTAGCAAGATTGTGAGGGAGTGGCAGGAATTTCCACTAATTTTGCCATCCACCTTTCTAGATGTTCCTATCAACTGATGCTAAAATCACCCCGAGAACATGCTTCATTGAATAATGTTGCTACAGGCAATAGGTTCTCAGGGTGGTGTGTTTGTGTAAATTAATCCACATTGGAAAAATGGCTCTAGATGCAGATGTCATGCTAAGCCACTCTGCAACAGCCCACTGTGACTTAGCATGAAGTGCGAACCAAGTCACTGTAGATGTCAGCTTTTATCTAAGGGTGAGAGATTCCTACCCTTGTGACAGTTTCCGGCTGGTTAGCCATGTTAGTCTATTGCAGCAAAGACAGCAAGGGGTCTGTCTTGTTAATTAGCTTACCAGTGGCAGGATGCCTGTGTTATCACCAACAAGTGTTTTGTGAATTGCCACTATTAATAATATAATTGTCAGTCCCTATACCGACTGAATACATAGTTCACTCAGTTCTTAGTGTTTGCTATTCCTTTGCCCCAGCCTGTAACTCAGGATAACACCTCATGCATCTGATGGTGGACTGAATTTCATGAAAGCTTATGCCATAAGTTTTTAGTCTTTAAGAGGTCAAAAGCTCTTCACTGTTTTTTCTATCCCTGTTTCCCAAGATTCATATGATGGGAATTTTTCCTGCTGTGAAATTGACTTAAAAATGTATTGCCTACATTGCAATCCAAAGTGATCGAGTGATTTTCTACCTTCATGCACAGAAATAACTGAAGTGTGAGGCAAGAATTATAGTGAATAGGTTAAGCAGACAATGGAATGCCTGTTTAGACCAAAAACCATCCTACAAGTCTCTGGGTTCCTGAGCCAGCATGGATGGCTAGGGAATTCTGGGGTTTGTAGGACTTTTTTCAGTCTAAAGATATACAGGATTGCACCCTAAAATGATCTGTTTCCAAGTAGTACAGTGAGCTTAATTATACAGGTTCTACATGTATGTTCTGTTGGGTCTATCTGGCCCCTTATTGTCACATTATGGGCTTCTGAAACCAATAAGCCCGCCTACCCCTTGCCTGTCCAGTTCTAGGCAAACCATGACTCCTTGTGAAATTCTAAAACCAGTAAGAAATGAAGCCAAGTCCCTTTTAACTGACTCTTGTGCTCTCTCACATCTCCTAACTTGCATCTCCTCAGGGTTATTTCTTTGCCTAAGTAGTCACATTAAGTTACCTAGAAAATAGAAATTACAGCCAATTTCTCAACTTAGTGCCATTGCTATTCATGTAGAAATAATCCTTACTAGGAAATTTAAAGTAACATTCCTATCAAAGAGACTAGGAGAACGACATAAAATAGTCATATATTCAGCAAGACCAAAAGCATTTTATTAGTACTTGAAAGTTTGATGATCAAGGTCCTGGGCAGAGTTTTTTCCAACCCTGTTGATGGAGGTACTTTTAACTAGATATGCTGGGAATTGAACTTGAGATGTCCTGCTTGCAAACTATGTCCTGGTGCCATTGAGATGTGGGTTTTCCAATTGCATGGAAGGGGAGGCAGGGAAAGTGAGAAATACAGCACATTTGTCTGATGCCTTTTCCAGCTTGTGACATGTGCACAGCAGCTGGATCTGAATCCAGTAGATCACCTGCTGAATCCAGTGTATACTTTCGTTTGTTTTATATATTGCTGTTATACCATAGATAACAGCATCATTATTTATATGTCACTGTTAAATGAATGTGCAGATTAGAGTGTTGGTGTATTTATAAAATGTGTGACATTTAGGAGGTTTCATATCCCTCTAATGCAACCTAGAATTGTGAGAAATTATCAAACCATCTAAGATGGACATTTATATTTGATGTACAGTAGTGACAACCAAGACTTGAACAACGTATTTTGATGTTACACTCTGAATTGAAGTCATTGTATTTCCATTGTAAGGTAAAATACAAGATTAATAGAAGTGTTATCTGAATTCTGTTTATAGAATTGCATTATAGAGAACATAGCTGTATCTTATTTTGATGCACTATATTTTCTGCTAATGACTTTGTTTTAGCATTTGATTGTATTTTACTCCTTAGGATTATGTTTATATATGTAGAGAAACTGGAGGGATTGCCTTTTTCTGGTACCAAAGTATCAGTCTATTATATCTACCCAATCTAGAGAATAAAGCTCTAAATAAAGCAGTAAATTCACATTTTCTTTTTCCTTCAAAGTTTCCTCATTTGTGAATTGTTCAAAAGTCTTTTCCATTGTTGCCTTCATCTGAATCCCTTCAAATTTGTTAGTATTCGTCTTAAAATAATATATTCAAAGCTTAACAATGGCACATACAATCTCTGATGCAAAAGCTAAAGAAACATTTCTTATACTTGCATACAACACTTTTGGAAAGTAATCTAAAATGGTCTTCATCATTCCTTCTCTTTTTGGATGTCACATTGTCAGAATATGCTTGAAATGTTTCATGCTGATACTTGAACAGGCATATCAGATACGCCTAGTGCATTATCGCTTTGGAGTCTGATGTATTTATTTAAAGTTTTTATATGCCGTCCCCTTGTTATATAGCCTCGGGACGGCTCAAAGAAAGAAAGAAATATAATACAATACAATTAAAACCCAGAAACACCCTGGCTGCACAATTAAAACCTGTAAATATTAAACATTATTAAAATATTGTTTGATGTACAGCCAAAAGGCATATTAGAGTTGAAATATAAATGTTGAGAAGAACCCTCCATTGTTTCTGTGCATGTATGTGTATAGAACGAACACACACACACATTTCTACAAAAGTTCAATGTCCCATTTTTATCAAAACTCTTTTATTAAATTGCATTTCTATTCCCTCTATTGATTGTAATTCCCTCCAAAAGGTATTATCCCAATGGGATGAATGGGCATTGAAGTAGCATGTGGTTTGGTGTAAGCAAGTGTAAAATGATACCTTTCAGCAAAAAAATTCTAACTCTTTACTGATTTCCTTTCTTGCCTCATAATACTAAGACCCGGGGTCATCCGAGGGGTGGGAAGGAAGTTCTGCTTTACACAGTGTAGTGTTAATTGGTGGGATTTTGCCCCACAGATGGTACAGGGACCGTGTGGCTGTATATGCCAGTTGCTGGAGAACATGGGCAGGAGTGTGCTATTTCATTCCTGACCTGTTGCAGGTTCCATGGGTATCTGGTTGTGCAAACAAATGTTGTACTAACAGACTTTTGAACTGACTTGGCATGGCTCTTCTTACATTCTTACATTTTTTTAATTGTACCATTGTTTGGGACTGCATGTATGTAGGGGATATGCAAGTGAATTAGATTTATGACCAATTATATAACCTATGTTCTGTTTGCTTGAGTTTGCTATCACATATGCTGGCAATAGCCAAGGAAGGCCTTGCTTTCACTGTGCAGTACACTTCTTGTCTGAAGCTACTTCAATAATTTCCTTGTTCTGTGTGATTTACAGGGCTATGATTATCTCTTTTCACTTAATGAAACATGTTGTTTGACTTAGTCTTGGGCAGTTATTGCAGTCTGGTTTGTAGTGTGTGCCAGTTCTCTGGGGACTCAACTCACTGATACTCATTGCCCTTGAAGAAATAATGTAAGGATTTCCTACATTTTCCTTACTTTTGATATTGGGGAGGGATATTGTGTGTTGCACCAGTGTGTCACTTTTTCTTTACAAATGTAGCACTCTAAATTTACTCATACACTCTCGGTATTTGTATGTGGGATAGTGTAGCTGTGTGTTCTTGCCCTTTTGGTTTCTGTTTTTGCTGTTCTCTATAAAGATCTTGCCTGTGTAGGCATAGGGTACATTCAGGATTTTCAAACAAATAAGAGTGTCTTCCAAACTAAACTCTTAGAAGTGGACAGAGAGTTCTTGTCTGCACAGCATTTAAATCATCTGAAAGTCAACAAATCTGATTCCTTCTAGCAGGCTTCTGTGGCTTCACAGCCTCAATAAAAATATACTTGTCTCATTATACTTGCATTGGTATCCTGTATTTTGACTGAGTAGTCTTCCTGCTTTTGACACCAAGTCAGCATGGCAGAACTGGGGTCAGATTTTTTTCCTGAAGAATTTTTTTTTATTTCTTTCAGATGATGTCAATTCTTATGAACACCATAATTTTTGAGGACTGCAGAAACCAGTGGTCTGTGTCAAGACCCCTCTTGGGTCTCATACTGCTCAATGAGAAAGTAAGTATTTCAGAAGTAGGATCTCCTGTTAGGTCAAAAATTACTCTAGGCTACTTAGGGTGTTAGTGTTGGATCCTAATAAATGAGCTTCTTTTTGTAGTCCACTCATGAGGGTGCAGGGAAGGGGGGAATACATCTCCAAAATCATGCAATCATGTTCAGAGAGACCCTAAGCTGGAAAGAAAGAGTCTTGTTTCTATATAGAAAGTGAGGCCCCTTTCTGAGCCCCCAGAAATCAGTAAGTTTCTGGTTTGGCCCTAGTCATCCATGACAGTATCTTTATTTAGGACTCTGATTTTGTTTAAAATGTCTACATTCTGTTTTTAATGTATTCTGAGTTGCCCGAAAATCTTTTGGCAGTTTAAAAGTAAAATAAATAACTAATCCTTTCTACAGTTCTCACTAGGAATGTGCATAGAATCTGTTTGGAGGTGGGAATCCATTGAATTCCCTGCTCTTGACTCCCCAGACTCCAGTTTGCTTTGCAGTGGCCCAGAGTCTGCAATCCTGGCAAGTGCTCCCAGCATTCATGGGGCATTTGTCAGAAACTGACCCTCATACCCTGCGCAAGCCACACACCCCTCCACACTCAGTGCTGCTGGCTCTGGTGGCAGCAGGCAAGGAAGAAGGTTGGTTGCCAAGACTGACACCCGCTGTGCATGCTCAAAGCACCTTGGGACCACCACTGCTGGCACCACCAGGCAGAGAAAAAAAAAGGATTGGTCACTGGGAGTGGTGCCTGGTGCACCCATGTGCAGCGCACTGCTTCTGCCTCCTACAGCTGCACTTTGGCTCACTTTGCAGGACCAGGCCAAGAACAAGAGGAAGCCTGTGGATGCTAGAGGGATGGATTCTGAAAGGGTTCCTCCCACCCCTTAGCTCTCACTATAGAAAAAGAGGGCTTTCCTGACATTTGACTTATACAGTGAGTACTCTGAACACTCAAAGTTTGGTAGATTGGCCAGGCATAGCCTCCTGGATTCTGGGCCATTTATCTAGCTCTGGCATCAACTCAGTTGGATGCAAGTCAAGCCAGCATGTGCTCTTCCTTTTCTAAAGTAGCTCATGATCTGTGTATTTTTTACGGCAGAGAAATGTGGACAAAATACAGCCACAGGTTGTTTAAAGTACATAAAATACAGTTATATTTGGTGCAAATTGCAGCAGTCTTGTATGCAGATTTTCCTGCCTTTTAAAGAATAGGTTGATTGTGTCCTGCTTTAAAAGCAGAAGCTACAAAAACCATCTCTCAGTTCAAACTGTTTCCAGAGCTGTCAAGCCAGTGAGGTGCACTGAGATCCACTGAACACAAATGGGTTGTGCTTCAGCGTTTTCCATGCCTGTTGAGATTCCTCCCTGGAGAAAATGAAGTGCTTATCTGAGTATTTCTTAAATGTGCCTTTGCACATCTTACCAGTGCTGCCACTGGTTGCGTAATTTGTTTTGAGTTTGCTATTAATATGGCAACTGGAAGGGAAACTGAACAGAAGCTGTGGGCTTGTTTTCATGATCATGGTGGAGTAAAAAAGCCACAGAGGCTTATTTCCCTGCCACATGTGCCAGCCCATCATAATGGCCCTTGGAAGCACAGCTCCCTGAACATGGCCAGGGTCGCTTGTTGTGGTGCTTAGCAAGAACACTACAGTAGCCCAAGTCTTCTGGGTGGCTTGTTAACCACAGCAATAGGTTACCATGGTCAGGTTTGCACAGCATGGGAAGCTGTGCTGCCAAGGGCATTTATGCAAATCCCCCCTCCCAGTTAGCAAGCCATGATGGCTTATGAGCCACTTTGTGATCATGCACACCAAGTTAATGTGCACATCAAAGCAGCACAAGAGCAACCCCTTGCACTTCACTAGAATCTCCCAAAATGGTTTACAATGCTGGCCTGTGCTGGCACGGCCCTAAATATGCAATTGCACCCACAGCCTCACAAAAAACAAACATTACCAGTAAACTGCTGTTCAGTCATCTTCAGATTCCTGGTGGAATGTTTACATTCCAGCCACTGATATTCCCCACCTTGAACTGCCTGCCTCAGCGGTAGACAATTTTAATGTTTTTCAGACAAGCTGCCTTTTTGGGACCTGCCCATGTAAGTGTAGATCTGTAGGCCTGAGATGGATGGCCAACAGTATCCGGCTGAAAAGGAACCTGTTTCGGTAAAATAGTGTGAGCCAGTTGGAGTGTGTATCAGCTTGCTGCAGATGCTAAGGGATTGTTCCTGAAGATATTGACCTGTACTGTTCTCCATACTTCAGTGCGAGTTCTGACTTTATTCCAAATTCGTTTATCTCCTGGGCAGTCACAAGTGGGAGTGCATTACTGCTTTGGAGAATGAATTGTCTATACAATAAGATGGTGCTGGGAAAAAATAAGACACTAAGATTAGCTGCAGCCGCATACATTAAAATTCAAACTGAAATCCCAGCCCTGGTAGGAAACTAATAGAAGAAGGAAATATATCAAGTATAGAAGCGCCGTCTCATCATTCACCTGTGCTGAAGGATCCAATTTTAACCATATCCAATAGCACTGTCATTCATCTTCTTGGTGTATTATTGTGATTTAAATCCAAGCTCCATACGAGGAGCAGTTCTTTTAAAATGATTGAGAGGGAATAAGGGCAAATTCAGTGTTTAGAAAAAGTTTATGACATCACAATATTATCCTTTACAGATGGAAGCAATATTTCCTACTTTGGGAGGAAAACTAATCATTTTCTATCTGCCCTGAGTCACTGCATCATTATAAAAGGCAGAAATAAGTAGTCATATGCATTCCCAATCTTGTTGTTGGCAACATTTTTGTTTAGCCAATGCCTCTGATTTATAGTATTAAATATTAGCCTGACTCCATATTAATTATGTGGTTTTGATTTTAGAAGCTTTAGTGTAAGAAGGAATTAAATATTTCACAAGGAGATACAGCCATGCAATCATGAATAGTAAGAAATATGAAGCTAGCACAATTTTCTTTTCTGCTGGAACAATATTGCATTCTAATGATCATGGAGTTTGGTTAGCTGCAGAAGCTGTATGTATGCCATTATTTATCAGCAGGTCCTCTATAAGTCCATTCACTTTGGACTTGTATGCATTAAGGAGGCAGGCGTTTCTGTTAATCTGTCTATTGAAAAAAATGGGTTGATACAGAAGATGCAAACAGAAAATACTCTGTGTGCCCTCCAGTACACATAACAGTCACTGCTCTGGTTTCTGGAAAGCCAGCAATATCATGATGCAAAGCAATTTGTTTCAAGTGCACAGTTCCAGCAATAGTTTAGGTGCAACCTGGAGATGAGGCATGCTGCAATCCTATGTATGCTTTCCTGGGAATATGTGCCACCCCATACAGTTGGACTTCCAGGTAAACACACACAGGGTTGTGCTGCCAGTTACTCCAAAGCCATCACAATAGATTATGCAATATATATTTAATATTATAATTTTACTGCATTTTATCCCCTCCTTTTTCAAGGAGCTTGAGGCAGCACACACAATATCTTTCCTTGTTTTCTCTTCCCACAAATCCTGTGAGGTAGGTGAGACTGGACAGGATTGACTCAGGTTCCCACAATCAGCTTCACAGCCCAAGCCCAGCACAACCCACTATACCAAGTCTAATATTTAAAGTCACATGATAGAGAGTATCTCCTTTTTCTAAATATACAGTAACAAGTTCATAAATTTCCACTCACTTCAATATATAAAATAAAATTACAGCCTTGTGCTATTTTAGCTCTTATGCCCTCCTTTGGGTCTGGATATTCTCCAAATAAAATATAAACAGTCTTCCTCAAATGGGCCTCCATTCCTAGCCTAATCCTGTGCTTGCATTGGTCTCTCTCTTGTGTTCTCTCTCTCTCTCTCTGTATGTTGAACCCCTGCTTCATAACTGGTTCAGAGCCTGTGAACATCTGGGCTATTATCAGCAGGCTGAAGTGGAGTTTCTAGTTCAGAAGGGAAGGCTGTCCAAATTGCAGGCATCTTTGAGGCATTTTGTATCAAGGGAGCCTAAGGTTACAGCTGAGTGAGGAGGGAGGAACTCAGTGCAGAACAGCCAGAACCTAAATGCAGATACCAAATATACTTACAGGCATTTATTTATATTAAATATTAACAAAACATTTTATTGCATTTAAAAATCTGCCTGGTCAGTTATCCCAGTGCCTTTGCCCTCGCGCTGTGGCCAGATCATAGTAGAAGATGGAAGTCGACTGTGGGCAGAGCAGTCTTAACCTCCACATCTGCCAGCTGGGGAAAGGGAAGGATGGGATGCAGAAAGGAGCTTTGCTGACTGGGAGGGTCCATTCTAGGGGCTCAGTTCCACCCATGGAGAGCTACAGCTGGCAGGGCTCCTACTGACTGTGGCAAGCATTCGGCCTCCAAATTGAGTATTTTAGTGGTGCAGTACAGCCACCTTCTGATCTAAAGCTGCCTCATGCTCTCAGGAGAGCATGACAGTGATATCACCCTGAAAATTTTGGACTGGGCTAAAGCTGTAGCATAACTGAAAAACAGTGCGCATTTCCAGTGTAAACAGCTTATTTTTAGTTTTTATTATGGGCAGCCTGGCACAAACCAAGCATCACGTTCCATCATGTCTGTATGAGTTGAGAATGTTGCATTTCGTGCTCACATTTTCTTCCATGTTTTCGCTGGCCATTTTTGCCTTGTATTCAGTAACCTTGCTTCTTCGTCGTGGCCTCTGTGCATCACACATATGGGTTCTGCGCCTGCGCAGTGCCTTTGGCCGGAAGATTGACAGCTAACGGTTTTTGGCGGGAAGCTCTGCTCCCCTCCCCCATGGCCTATAAAGAGCAGAGCATCCGCCATTTGTTCAGTCTTTGCGACTGCCGTTCACTGTGCCTCGTGCCGCTTTCGTCTTTCGCTTGACCGTTTCCTCGTAACTATTGTCTTCTTCTCATTCCCAGTTTTATATCTCTAAAACTCTTGTTACTTCTAGTTTCTCCTTCTAAAAAAAAAAACCAAAAATAT